AGCTCTTGAGATCACCGAGATTCCAGGCATCGTCGATGACTATAAACGTGCAGCTGAAAACGCTCTCGAAGCGGGCTTTGATGGTGTTGAGCTTCTGTAGTGCAGGCTACGCCTATATCTAAATATTCAGCCAGCCCCAGCTGCACATTGCAGTTGTGGAAAGCAGATCCTTTTCGGGATCCTGAAGATCAACGAAGATGTACAAGGTGTATCGGCATCAGTGATGACCGTATCGACATCTATGATGACCGGAAGACTCGTTACGTGCCTTGTGATGACACAGCCCACGTCCAACCATTGGAGCAGAACAACTAGTACGATATAGACCACGACAGCTCAAAGAGCAGTCACACTTTGCCTTTTACCTACAAATACACTAGGCTACAACTACCAGGAGCTTCGCCAGCTCCCCATCGTGTTTTCAGTTTGAATACACCACAGCTTCACGCCGCGAATGGATACCTACTGGAGCAATTCCTGCTAAACGGAACGAATCTCCGCACGGACAAGTACGGTGGCAGCCCATAGAACCGCTCGCGCATAGTGTTCGAAGCGATCGCGATTCTGACGGCGATTCCTCCGCGAGCGACGACACTAACTACGCTTCTTCTTCCAAGTCAACCCCGTCGAAAGCTCACGGTAAGCGCAAGAGTGCATTTCAACTGGAAGCTGAGCGTCAAGATAAGCGGATATGCGATGATATGGAGCTTCGCCGTCTTCAATTTGATCGGCAGATGCAGGCACAGCTCCAACAACACCAGGATCGCATCAATTTAGAGCGTGAGATGCATGAGCACTCAGTGCAAATGGAACGTACAAGAGCCCTGGTACAATCTCAAGCGGAAGAACGGATGCAAAGGGCTCAACATGAGGCTGAGGAGCGCAACCGACAACTCATATTGGAATGTGTAAAATTACTGAGCGGTGTGTACCGCAAGGACTAGCTCCGTATCAAAGAGAGGAGGCAAGTAGACTAGATTCGCTTTGTATTCACGAATTCTAATGAACGTGTTGCTTACAGCTATCTAGTGTTCAAATAGACGCTTAGGCTTGGAGGAGCTAGCCCGAAGTAGTCGCTGATAGTGTTGCCACCCTGTGTACAAGTAATGCAGTTTGTCAAGAAGACACCAACACGATACATAAGTCCAACTGGTTGAATCCCAACTCGAGCTTGTCGTTTGAAATCGAGAGCTGTCCAGTAGTTGGTCACCTGTCCGTATGACCATTCCACTGAAACACGTACACGACTCATACTCACGTTTACTTGCCGTTGTTCTCGCGATCGATTCCCAACCGCACCAGCGTACGGACTAGTCAGTACATCATCGTTACCGTAAGCTTGATCGCCATAAATCTTGTACTGTTGAAAACGAGAATCATTGCGAATCCTCTCAGAAATCTTTGAATCTTTGAAAAGCTTGATGTCATGGTTTCTGCCGGGAAATGGTCCATACAAGTGAGCGATAAGACCGTCTGGGGTTGTTAGTGTTTGATACTTGAGAGCATGCTTGCGTTTATGGCCATTATACACAGATTTTTGGCTCATAAATTTGCCATCGCGCTTTGTGTGACGAGGCCGAGGACGACGTATTCCCCGTACAGTCCCATCAATAAATGCCCAAACGTTTTGCAAGAGGCCACCAGCGTCAAACACAGCGTCTGCGTATGCTTGCAGATTCCGAACCACGTACGATTCGTTGAAATAAAGAAGTTTTGCGTACTTGTCGTCCAAAAGTGTCAGCATGTGCAAAAACTAGTTGATAGACCACTTGAATCTCTACCAAAAGCTTATTCAAGATCCACCCAGCCAACCGGCACAGCAAGTTTGTACAAAAGGATACACAGACCCTCAGCTCCAGTAGCAGCCGTCCTTTCTCGAGTCCGAATGCCTTCTAATCCAAATAGCGTCACAAGTTCCACAATCTGCACCTTTGTAAACCGACATCTTTCATGTCATCTTGACGAAGAGCACGACGCACCAGCGCCTCATTTACAATTTCAGACGCACAGCGCGTCGCGCTAGCCTCGTCAGCCTTCTTCTTGTTGATGCGATCCATTTTATCGTCTTTGGCAGCGTTCTCAAGCTGTATATACTGCCCCACCAACCCAGCCAATGTTTCGTAGTGGCTCTGCTCGTTGACTGCTTCAAGTGTTTCCTCGATTCCGCTTCCTAACGAAGACCGTAGTTCACCGGCATGCCAATTCTTTTTTAGCAAGCGAACACGATCCCGAACTTGCTTCTCTAAGACCCGTTCCTTGATGGCGGATGAAACATGCTCCGCAACGCTGGCCCATGCTCGAGCAGCCTCCCCGTACTTTGCTGCAAATGGCTTTTGGGCGATCGCCTCTCTCATGAGTTCTTTGTCGTGATCCTCCGTAAAGCGAAACACCATCTTGCCGTCGTAGCAAATTTAGAAGTGGGCAAACATATAAAATTTACCTCATGAGCAGCTAAGTTAAAGTAGCACTGCCATAAGATCACGAAGAACATGGACGGTTGTGCTAAAGCTAGATCCGACAATTTGTCGATGGAGCTCACATATGACAGTCCATTTCAAACTGACACTGTTGTGCTAAAAACCTCTAATGACTAAAACGGTGAATTGGAGAAGTACGCTGCAAGCGTTGTGGCAATGGCTGAGGATAGGGGAGTTGAATACCGAGAGACCCAGTCAGAACACGATATTTCCTGCTTGGATTCGCTCAGTTCAGCAGCTATCTTCAAAGTCAAAAACCCAGGAAAACCAGTGAGCCCTAGTGCGCTCGTCCAGTTTCAGTTAGTACTATGGAATGTATAAGCATAGTAATTAATATACATGCAGATGTAGGACATGGAAGCTTATAAGCTTCCATCCGTCTGAACAGTGGGGTCGGCACTTTTCTTCTGGCGCGCTCTCCCCAAGCTCCCCTGACTTCGATAAACTGGTAGCACTTGTTGGTCCCAGCAACCTGATAACAAAGAGTCCATGCCGACGAACGCACAACTTTAAGTCGAGATCGACCGGCTCAACCAAGCGATGGCTGTAATGGGCTCGCTGTGTGCCCACTACTTCGGCTTACACGTTAGCGCACGTGTA